TGCGCCAAGTAAATGGCATCCATTATCATTTTGCTGATGCCCAGAGAGAAACAGAAAAAAAAAGAGGAAAGGCAGAGGGCACACAAAGCAAGAGAGATCTTCTGGTAGATGAGTTTTATGGTTTCTGGCCCACGGTTGCACGCCTTTGCTTGTAATTAGCGGCAGTTAATTAATGAGCAGAGATGAGTGGCTCCCAGCAGTTGGGCTTGCTGTGGGGAAAGTGAACGGCTGAAACGCCCCCAGGCTCAGTGTAAACATGCAGCACACATCACTGCCGGCTGAATCCCCTGCTGTTACAGCTCCGAAGAAAAGTTATGACTGCTGACATTGGTGCGTGCCGTGAATCAATTCACCAGCACATTCGTTGTCCTATATTTGTTGACGATATTGAGGACTCATTGCCAGATGGCAGACCAATAAGGTCAGAACATTGTTGTACTGTGCTGCGTTGTCAGTTGGGACCATAATGTGCAGAATATTATAGAAAACCGAAGCCTCAGTCCAAGTATTATCTCAGCTCGGCTTGGGACGCAGCCTGCTGACGGCATATCTATTCCAGATGGAGGAACCAGCTTCCCTCCTTTTTTCACATTTTTCTTGGTTTTCAGAGACCTTCTTTGTTACACTGGCAAAACGTCTGTGCTTTAGTTTTTGGAAATGTCGCTGCGGATTGTGTTTGTCTCTAATATTAAAGCATGTCCCATTAATGTCATGTCGGGGACATGCGTCCATGGCAGTCTGAGGTGACTTTTGTTCTCTGGTGGTTTGCTTCTTCCTTTCCCACACTTCTCATCCTTTGGGGGAAGGATTCAACATATTTTGGCTCTGAAAATAATCACCAGAGTTCTTCCACTGTATAAGACAGAGCTGCAACAGCCCAGCAGCTGAGTGCTGTTTAGTGTTGAAAGATGTTTACTCATTCCAGGCTCGGGGTTGAAGTTGCAGTCACAAAGACTGTGAATAACAGCCTTCCTCATTCTACACACCTGTACTACATCTATGCTGTGACGTTATTATAGAAAAGAGGTCCACGAGGCCCTCAGGGTCCTCTGGCTGACACTGCTTAAAGAACATGAACAGCATGGAATCACACTAATCATTATAAAATAATGAAGCTGAAAAAACGTGTCATGTAAAATGCCAACACGCAGCTTTAACAGAGTTAAATAATGTGCTTTGAAACTAAATCATTCAGTCAAGAACAGCACTGCTGTTCCACCATTAAAGGTACAATGTGAAATGTTTAAGAATATCCTTGTTGTTAATGACACCGGTGGCCGTTAAGTGAACTGCAATCAGCATCCTGTTGCTCGCAAGCGTGCTCACACTCCATAGGTGCGAGCACGCTTCCTGTGCAAAAACATATCCATGCCGCGTAGCTATGTTACAGCTGTTTAACCTTAGCATACGGTTAGCTAGTTTACCGCCCCCCTGCATCACTCGGCTAGTGGAAAGCAATAGTTAGTTATACACCTTTCTTTTCTACCATTAGCCGACATCAGCAATGCTGTTCTTTTCCTACTGTGACACGACAAGATGGCTGCTGTGAAAAATGTGTATTAGCCTACGCGATCCACTGTGAGGCCCTTGGGAGTGTGCATAAACGTCACATCCTTAGGAGTCCATTCCATAGAAACATCTCCACGGGCAGTTATATCGGCAGCCGAGAAAGTCCCGTTTCAATCCGTTCACACAAAGCAGAATACCTGTAAACCGCTTCACATCGTACACACACAAACACACAAAGCATTTGGTGACAACGTTGATGCATTTAACAGACAGACGGCAGCCCCCACCAGCCCTTAGTGACGGGGCAGACTGGGCCGATCTCCAGAGGTGTGCTTTCTCCATCAGGCCGCCTGCTCTCACACCAGACAGGAACATACCAGTAATGGAACAGACTGAGAGCAGCAGGTAAAACACACCGCGGTGACCAGCTGAAAGCTTACGAAAACCTTAAAACAGGTCGCAGAATGTATGCCTCAAGTTTTATTGATTTTGCTGAAAAAGCCAAACAATTAAAAAGTCGGATGCCTTCTTTACTCTAGTCTTTAAAACATCTGTGTTGATTCAGGTGCTTACTGAAGCTGGTGCAAATTCAACCTTTGAGTCTACAAACGCATTAATGCTTTTCTATTTACTTTTTAAGATAATTTTTAAAAAATGTGCAGAAACAAAAAAGACAAACTCTTCTGCCATGCTTGCTACTCTGTGAGGGTGTTCTTATATGCTCACAACCACAATGCTAACATGCTGACATTACTACCCGGAGAGCCATGCCGCTAGTGTGGCTAAAACAACATCCACATTTAGTCCACTATTTAAGAGTGCACAGTCCAGTTCATGTTCAGGTGTTCATGTAGGAAAACTGCCTCCCTACTTTATCCTTCTCCAGGATGTCTGTTTTTTTTTGTTTAAGGTTTTTTTTTAACCCCACAAATGTATGTCAAATTAAAACCTGGCTTCATGGTGTGTGGCTCTTGTCATTTTGTTTGAAGTGGTTTGTTTAAGGTCATTTATTTGGCTGTAGCTCTATTCACCAAAGGCCTCTTGATTATGTTTTTCTCCCCCCAAAGCTGGAGCATGATTGTCTGATCACCATCAGGCGTGTGACTGGGGCGTGGCCTATACAACAAATCAGTGCCTAGGTCTCATTGCTGTTGAACTTGAAGAAGGCCTGAGGGCAGAAACTTCATCACAATCAAATGAATGCATTAAAGTGGTTTGTATCAGACTGCATGTTCACATTACCTGAAACCCTCTGCCCCAATGCTTCCCTTCTTGCACACTGAGGAAAACGACTGGTTTGAGTGGTTGTTGCACACAGACTACCAGCACTGTGTCCAGACATCAGAAGATGATGCCATTACATTGTTTTGTGTTACTGAGAAAACTCAACATGCATGTATTTATTATCTCTACTTCTAATGTGCAGCCACAATCCCAGAACTAAATCTGCCTCATGTGACAAACCGCAAATGAGTTTGAACATTTCTCTATGGGTCTGTAGATCTGTCAGCGCCTAAGGATACTTACTCACAAGTCTGCAGATTGTTGTGTGACTCATTTGGGCCAAAAGACAGATGGAAGATTAGTCTGCGGCAGGTTTAATCAATCCTCAAAGTGAAGTTATAATCGGTGTCGTATTATGGAGAAGTAGTTTGTTGCTGTGGGATTACCTGGTCATCTTCACACGGAGCAGATGTAAACCGCTCCATTGAAGATGCTGCATTATGTGATGCTGAGGTAAGTACTGTGCTTAAGTACAATTTTGAGGTACTTGTACTCAACTTGAGTGATTCAATTTTCTGCCACTTTACACTTCCACCATTCTGATCTCCACTTGTCTGTTTCATATCTTTGGTGTCTACTTTAGCGCTTCAATGCCTTCAAAGATAAGGTACATGCTTGCAAATGTCTTCATAAAGTTTTAATACTGCAAACTGTATTCATGGAATTTAAATATTAATTTTACCCGTGCTAGTCTAACAACAGGCCGGGGACGAGAGACTCTAGGCTAACTCCTGCGAATAACGTAAATTGATGAGTAGACTGTTTTTTGCCAAATACACCAATTAAGAAAGCAACGTGGAAATAACTGAATGATGTTGTAAACTTGCTGCCCTCACAGGACTCACTGAAGCAATTCATTTTCTTTAGCTATTTCGAGCCACGGCACATGCAGCTTGTTTGGTCCCTGGGAGCAAAGGCCAATTAGGCTGTTTTGAGAGTGTGTTGGAGGAGGTAAGTGCTGCATCTGCTACACCGCATGGGCCGGCATAGTTCTGTGGGGCAACGAGGACTGAACGCAGCCCGGGCTCAGTGGGCCAGAATCAATTGGCAATCCAATCTGTCAGTGGGCCAGATCAATACATGTGACTGCTGCGCTGTCTGATGGTCAGATGCAATCAACAGGAGTTAGTAGGAATAATGACAATGTGTATAAGAAAGACGCCTAGAGGGAGTCGAAGACATGAATAATTAAAATGCCAACAGAGAGACTAAAATGAAGGGGAATCCAAAAATGCATAATTCACCTGCGGAATCGCTGCATTGTCACTGAAAAATAGTGCAATAAAAAAAGGAAAAAGCACTTTTAGATACTATGATGTTAACAAAGTAAGAGCATTTGGTGGAGCATGACTACCATCTACCGGCCAACAGGGGGAACTGCATCCAAATCATCTCACTCGAACCACTATCCGGGTTTATTGTCAGCAATGGCCTTCAAAATAAAATCCCTAATTTGCATTTTATGACTAATTTTGTAGGCATGCGATTACTGTATTTGTTTTACAAAGCCTTATATAACTATTGTGCAACTGATTGATAGAGTGAGAAACTGCATGTTTACTTTCATAGTAAACAATTCAAGCTAGTGCCCTGCTGTGACTGCTTACAGGTTAAAATGACATTGAGCTCTACGGAAAAACAGGTTTGTGCATTAGTTATTGTGACTGTATAGATTACTGTGAATATCAGGGTTAGCCCTATCATCGTGTGAAGAGAAGATATGTATTAATAAAACCTGTCACCAACGTGGGAAGTCCATGCTCTTACCAAGCCTACGGTAACGCCCAGACCTGAAATAGTTTGCCAATTAACCAATTATTCTTTCAACAGAAAATGAATAGCAGCAGGGTTGATAGTTGAAGATTTTCCGTTATGTGCTTTTTTGACTCGCCATGCTGTCAGAATTAATATTTATATTCCAGACTAAACTAAAGTAATACATTAAGATGAACCAATGATGAAAATAATTTAATAGCGGCACATGAGATGCAGAATGAGTGTGGACATTGTGCTGATTGTGTTAAAAGTAATCATTTGATTAAATCCCGATCTGTCGATCAACATCTACAGAGTGTTCTCATAAACGCATAATTAATAATCGTGGATATAATTATGATCACATGTTGCTGTTGATGACTGACTTGGGGGCGTGCCTCTTCATTGTATCTACATTCCCAAGAGATTGAAAACGGCACACAACACCACACTTGTTAACTTTCCAGGCATATTTAATTGGCACGGTAAACACAATACAAAGTATTCAGTGCTCCAAAACACAAGCATGGGCTACCAAATGGAACACGAACGAAAAAGTGCAAAAACACACCATTTGGTAGACCTTTACAAAGGAAAAGAAGTCTTACTTTGCAAAGCAGATAAAGTAATGGTAAGACTCTCAATAGTTAAAATAGATGTTTTCCTTTTTAAACTTTATTTATATATTCATATATATTCTCTCTAATTCCAACATGCCATTTCCACTGTACAGGCAGGTTATTCCGGGGCATCGACTCGAAGGTTTGTGGTGGTCTCGTTGCAGAGCGCGGGCAGCTGGCGATCTGCCTCATCAGATTTATCATTGGAAAAAAAAAAAAAAAAAAGTGGCTTGTTTTGACGTCTTGACGGATGGTGAAAAGCCAACGGGGGACTTTTTAAGCTGGATTCAGCAGAGATTTGATCAATACTTCCATCAACAGTTCGAATGGTCAATATGTCCACGGCTCCTCCGTTGAAGAAGTGTTCGTAACATGCTGCATCAGATGAATATTTAAGAATGGCTTCATTCGAAACAATTTCATTGTTACTCATATTTAGTAAAGGGGGGGTTTAGACCTATTCAGGCAGAATAAGCTACAACATAGACTTCCAGCTTTAAAACAAAAAAAAAACAAGAAAACAAAGCTGAATCTCAATTCAACATCATCAAATATAAAACAAAAAAGAGTTAAAATCACGTACATTATGTGCCGTTGAGCAGGGAGAGGGAGTGGGGGGGGGGATCAGTGGACATAATTTCTCTTGTATGATTATAAAAACTCTGAAATTTGCCCCCAAACATTTGAGATAATCACATCTTAATCCTTTCATCATACCACAGCTAGCATCAGCCAGTTAAGGCCCAAAAACAGGTGAATCTGGGTCACATTTCAGTCACCAACTCGCAGGAAAATATGGATCACAGTATACTTTCATATACAGTAGACAGTTATGTGGACCATCCTAAGAACACCAGGTGTAAATAAGACCTTCATAGCTGTTGTTTTTAGGGTGAAAGTGTTGCTTGGACCGAGTGGAGACGTTTCCACAAGCTTGATTAACTGTAAACTAACAACATCTTGCGTTAGACTGATCAAACCATACAATGCTAATATTTTTACATACATACTGTACTGTGTACTTACGGTAAAAACAAATGCACAAGACATCCATGGCCTACCTATGCATAAGATCATCCAGAAAAACATTTCGGGTCCCTATCGTCCTCTACTTGACAGTTTTGGGATTAAACTAGGGAACACTGGGAGGAGGAGATCACTCACTCGCTGTTAGAAACAGGGAAACGTGCTTTCTGAACCAAAAGAAAGGAGATTTAATCAAAATTTTAAAAAAAGAACCACAGGCACCGAACCCAAACAGTAGCATTCAGGTTAATTCAAACAGTATGACCAGGCAATGAGGGTTAACTGAACAGAGAGGCTGGAGGCGAGGGGGGGGCGTAAGCTGACCAAACCCCCCCCCCCCCCCACCTGCTCCAGGTCGCCAGCAAAGGGGTGAGGAGGAAGACAGGGCAAGCATGCAGCACACCACAACGCTGAGAGGCCCCCTGCCCGTTGCAAAAAAATGTAAAAATGGGGGGGGGGGCTCAAAGCAGCCAAGGGATTGCCTGAGCTGCATCAGGAGGGAGGGAGGGGCGTGGTCAGAGAGAGGAACAGACACCAGTGACAAGACAAGAATTGTAGGATGAAGAAGATGGCGAATGACCCATCATCCATCTGTGAGTTGGGGGCTGTCGTGGTGCGGAGAAAGTGGAACATCACAACACACAATACCTTTTTTAAAATGATACATGCATACATACATACATACATACATACATACATACATACATACATACAAGCATTCTGCTCCGACAAACACAAATACACAACATAACATACAGATAGATGAGTAGCACCTTCTTCTTCTGACATCTGCGAATATGGAGGTGATTTTAGTGGGAGGGGTGACCGTGATGTGTGTAGATGAGCCCGACTCACACATACACACCGCCGGATGAAGGTGTTTGACAGCTGGCCTTTTGTCCGTAAGGCTCCTGCTGCTCTCCGTCCTGTCTCTGACCACATCCTCCGCCACGTGTGTGTGTGCACGTGTGTGTGCAATGGGGGCAAAGGTAAGGAGAAAGGGAAGTGGCAGAGCCAGCGGTGGCGTTCAGAGTGAGGAAGCCAACAGCCACGGACATGACCGCGTGGTGTAAGCGGAGTTAGTTACATTAAGAAGCGAAGCTTTGCCAAAAAACAACTAAAAAAGCAAATTGTATACTGTGGTTGTGACTGCTGTGTGGGTGTTAAGGATGGAAAAAGGGTTATGAGCGCAAAAATTACGATGGATTTCTCTTGTCGTCGCTTCACATCGCAGAGTTCTGCGGGGGGAAGCACAACGCTGCCGATAGGTTTTTGTTTTTGCAACGGTTTGGAAAGAGAGATGCGTTCTAATCGGACGTCTCTCTCGTTTCTAGATTCAGGTCGTCTTTCACTTTCTGACTCTGTGAGCGCGTGAGGAACGTGGTGGTTTCTCCGAGGTTGCTTGCCCTGCCATTCCTCAGCCAGCCTCGCACTTTTAGGAATCTGCAATTTAAAAAAAAAAAAAAAAAAAGAAAAAAAAAAAGAAATACGGACAAACAAACAAAAAAAAAAAACACGACAAAAAGAAAAGTTAGATGGCTTTAAAGGAAAATCGACAGCAACCCAAATATTCAGATATGGAGAGGAGGAAGAAAGACGTCATTACAGATATGAAACTGATGAAACTGTGGTGTCGGCATGAATGTAGTCTGCACTGAATGTGTGAAAGACCCCCATTAACCCAAAGATGTCTGTCTTACTAAGAAGCTTATTCCACTTCAGTTTGGATTTAATGCATGTTAGAATGCAGCCACTTCACTTTGTCACAACATGCTCCAATCATCTCAAGATGACAAAAAGTGCTGCACCATGCAACAAATGTTCTTCAATAAAAACAAAAATCGAGAAACGCATGAAATGTGTCTTTACAGCCCTGATGCAAAATGACACCCTGCACATAAGAACCCCATGCTGTGCCGGTAACGAGCCATCAAAGCTGATTAAAAATCTTGCGAAAGGGAGTTAAACAAAGGCTTGTGTCATGAGTTATGAAAGAGATCATTTCTGAGTCGAAGCCGATCTCCGAAAAGAAGCACAGAATGTCTTAATTGTAGCGGTGAGATGACATGACGCTGAGGCCAACCACACCATGCTTTGACAGTGAATGCACCGTTCGGGGAAGGTGCCGCTTCAGAGACTCATGCGACAAAGCACAAATCGTTAAGGTCATGACCCGCTCCGTGTCTCAGCCCAGTCTCACCATATAGCTTAGCACCGCTAATTCTCAGTCCTTTTTATTCCTTTACCACTGGCCTGGAAAAAAGGACCAGAACAGCCCAACACTTAATTAAAAAAGAAGAGAAAGCACATTCTAACGGGGCTATCGGCTACTAATCTGATCAATAGTTGTATAAAATCCTCCCTAACTAGGAGAGAATAATTACTTTCACAACTTGTTCATGTTGTAACGGCACTATGAATAATCTACAGCATGCAACATTTGAGGGGGGGGGGTGCACTTTTTATTTCTTGATTTTTTTTTTTCTTTCTTTTTAGCCTAAAAAAATATCTTTGAATATGTATTCATATTTTACAGCAGATTGAAATGACATCTGCGTGATTGCACATGGAGCATGCTTTCCTTTAAGGTTACAACAAGTGACCAAAACACAATGTTCATAGTCGCTTCAGATGGGGCATACATTCACTTAGCCGAGTTTATTGATTTATTACCGTACTGACTCGCATATGTGAGCGAGGTTGTGGATCAAACTCTTGATTAAAAGAATGGTCATTTGAAATCTTAACAAAAAAAACACAAAATACATATTTAAAAAAAATCAAGTACATGTGATCATTGTCAGTGGGTGATTTGTCCCATCATGCTCAGCTTGGACTGAGGGAGTCGTGTCTTTTTCTATTTGTTTTATTTATGACCACTAGGTGGCACTGCAGTGAATGGGAGGTGAGGAACTACAAGCTTCTTCTCACACACTTCTTGTACTCAACACCTGCCTGGCTCAGCTCGCTTTCAGTGTCATATCCTACACAGTGCCAAATGTTTTGTTCAGTGTACAGTGACACACACTCGCACTATCAGCCACAACTGTCAGGAGGCACAATGGACAAATCTGATTGGCCCTTCCTTCCAGGAGAGACAGGAAGTGTGTGTGTGTGGAGTTATTCTCTTATCTGAGCTACCAGTAACAATCTTTAATCTCCACAATTTGCCCCAATCACACGGCAGTGGACGGACACTTACTGACTTCACAGTAACAAAAATAAAAACACGCTTGCTGAGTTAAATGTATGTCATAGCACCTTTGGCATTTGTTTCCAAAAAGACCTCAACGTAGGATGAGGGGACGTATCCCTCCTCGTCCTCGTTCCTGCGCACTCGTGTCCATCCGTCTCCTTTGTCCTCTTCTATGACGTACAGCAGCTCGCCCTCTGCCACGGCGATGGTGCCCTCATTGTGACCTGAAAGAGGAGGGACACAAACGGAGAGGAGGCCAGATAAGAGCACGAATACGGGAGGAGTGTCCACCCTGCACACCTAGAGGAACTACCTTCACATGACTTCATGTAGAGTAAAGCTTCATTTATTAATCAGATTTCCTGAAAACAAAGAGGAAGGAAGACCAGCTATTTCTTTTGTTTTCTCTAATGCTGCTTTTTTTTTTTGTCCTGGATTTTCTTTTTTACCTCTTCAGCCTGAAACGATTCTTAAAATAGGCTGCGTAAATATTCAATGTCTTCACCTCTTACCTTTTCAGTAGGGTCATTATTTATACATGTAACGTTTGGTATGTTTATGATCCTCTCAGAGAGGGGGGGGAGGAATCTCTCGTAGAACTGGCACACATCTTTCCGAGCTAGGTCACCGGTACTTATCACCCCAGATCGATCAGAGCTCTTTACCACCTCTGATCTTCACACAGCGCTGCCTTTTGACAACTTGCCAATTCGATTTTGAAAATAGTATACGGGGGGAAATGACTATATCTCTATCCACCCTCCTCCTCCACACATTTCCTCAGTAATCCCTACTCCTCCTCATTCCGAGTAATCACATTCCTCCGACGTAGACTTAAAGGGCACATAAGTTGTTTGTTATTACCTTCGAACGGGTACAAGGCTTTGCAGGTGCCGATGGTGGGCAGGGTCTCGTCGTCGTCGAACTCGTCGTCGAACTCTGGCGTGCTGGATGTGGGGAGGACGGGGTTGATGTTGGCCTTGACCTGAGTCTCTGAATTCTGCTCCTCTGTGTAGCTGCCATCCGGGCTGCTCAAGGGCCAACACACACACAGTAAATATACTGTGAAAACATACATAGTCTTCCTCCGAACAAAGAAGGCGTGAAACATCTCTGTGTGTGTGTGTGTGTGAGATGTTTCATGTTCGTCCGAGTATAGCATACCTCTCTCTGTCCTGCGCGCAGTTGTTGCTCACTGTCGAGTTGTTGCTCACTGTCGAGTTGTTCTGGGTCTCATAGAGTCCACTTCTCCGGTTCGTATCACTCTTGGATGGCATCCTCTCCTCCACCTCCGCTAGCCAGCCCTGAAACACACACACACACACACACACACAATCATTATGAATGTGTTGGCTGCAGCTAACCTTTTTTTTTCTTTCTACGACTTAAAATGTATTTCAAGTGGAATTTATTGTCTGTGAATCAGATGGCCCTTACATTTGGCGAGAACCTTCAGGGGAGGAACGCCACGGCCTTACACTCCCCTTGCATTACCATTTATTAACCAGGTTAAAGCACGCCATTGTTCTGGACTCCTCTCCCTGCACAGAGCTGGCACATGCAGCCGGCCCCTCCAGCTGCATCACATCTTCTCCTAATATGGACAAGCGGCAGACTTCTCCAGCCGGAGACGTGCGTTTGAACTCCTCATTATTTACTGTCGCAGACAAACCGAACAGCAAAGCCTCTCCAACACTAACACACAGAAACGAGAGCTCAGGCGGGGGGGCGCCGAACTAACCTCAAACTTCTGCGCTTCAAACTGGAGCTTCTCGATGTTCTGGCCAATTTCCGATAGCCGGGGGTCGACACTGGCGGGGTCGCCCATCTGAGGGTTCTTCACGTACACGTCTTTCATCTTAGTTAGCGCGTCCCTGGGAGAGCAAATAACTACAGTCAGAACAAGTCTTTGTTGCATATTAACGAGGTAAACACAAATATCGCTTGTGAGGGAGGGAAAAGCTCCTTAATGCCAGATTTAAAGATACCTCTGGTCCATCTCTTTTTGAATGTCCTTATTCAGTTCATCTATCTTGCCCTGCAGCTTCTTCCTCCTCTGTTCTGGTGGCAGGTGGCTGAAGTCTTCTGGTCCAGAGCCCTGTGAGAAGAAGAAGAAGAAGAAGGGAAGAGGAGAAAATAGGGAAAAAAGAGGCAGAAAGAAACGGTAAGAATGAGCAACTTTCATCGCTTATTATTCGTTGTGTTGCTGTTTTGACAGGGATCATTTCTAGTTCCAGTAGGTGCAGTATCTCCCTTTTCTCTACACCCTGTGAACCAGGACTCGGGGGATAAATGGATAACAGCTCCACAAATGGAGCTCTTGTTATGTTCCAATCGCATAATTCACCTGAAGGAGATACTGCAGCCGCTCTCTAACACACACTCGCTGAGAGTCGGGATGCTTCTTTTTCTGTGGATACACTCGAGGCCTTTCACCTATTCAGCCGCTGCGCCTAATCTGGTGCTCTCTGTAGACGCATCGGAAATGTAATAAAGTATTAGCTACATCCTATCACCGCTCGTGTAGTGTTTCAGAGGGAGCTGGCTGATGGGGCTGTTCTCTGACGGGACTGTGTGTTCTTAAAATGGAAGTTGTGCGAGTGAGAGCATTGTTCTTGATGAGAAGGTTTCCCGGCTGAAACGATGAGTCGGACTTCTCGGCAGCGTCTCGAAACTTTCTGTTGACATTAATTATCAGTGCATCATTCTCAAGCTTGCTAAACAGTAGTGCTAGCAGGTGTGTATGGAGGCCCCAAGAGTTCAAAATTCACAACATTACACTAGTCATTCATATGATTATTCATTTCATAATTAAATAAAAAATGTAATTAAAAGTCAAGTTATTACTATATGTATTTCAGAGCTTATTTTCTTATATCAGAGTTCATTTTTGTTTTATTGTTTTTTGTCAAGTCTTTTATATTTCAAAATGCATGCTTTAGATTTTTTTTTTAACTTATATTTTACGTCACTTTTTGATTTCATAATTGTCACTTTCAGCTACTTAATCAACCAACTAATTGCTCTGAGCTAAATGCTAACGTCAGCATGCTAACATGTTTACAATGATAATGCAATGCACATGCTGATGTTTAGCAGGTATAACGTTTACCATGTTAGCATGCTAGCTGATTACTGCTAATCACAAGTACAGCTGAGGCTGATGTAATTTCATTAAGTCTTATTTATTTATCAACTCTTTAGGGCTCCATTGGTTCTGTCATTGAGTTATTGCACTTTGCTTTGGTCCCATCTCTCCAGTGAACCGTGCATTGACTGAATAGGTCGGGACCTGGTGGGATTTGGTTGCGATGGGTCACAGAGGCACCACAGGATGTTACTGCTGGAGCTACAGACTTCACTGCACTTGACCAACCTTACCTCTTCTTTCTGCGCCGGCACGCAACATTTACCCAGCATGCAACATAACAAAGATCATGTCAATCAGCATGCAGAGGCATGCTCCTTTCTGAGTGATACTGATAGTTACAGAAGTCATGTGTTAGTGTTTACATTCTCTATGAACCCCAAGACAAATCAAAACACGAGCATCTAGGTCAAAACTAAAACTATCGGCAGACATTAGGTCATTTGTTGTTTGTGTTATGATAAATTTAGGATGAATGAAAATTCCCTAATTGATTGTTCTGTATGGAATCAGGTATAGATTTACAAAACGCATGAAAAGGCCTAATTTTTATTACAAAGTAAGATAAGATCCATATTTTTGGAAAATACGCTTATTTGCGTTCTTGCAGAGTCTGTACACTAAATATGAAGCCAGCTGGCGGTTAGCTTAGCTTAGCATAAAGACTGGAAGGGGAAACGGCTAGCCTGACTCCGTCCAAAGGTGAACCAGGAGCAGCGACTTCCTTCTCCCTCAGTAATTTACCCAGTTGTTTAGCAGTAAATTGAGATTTTGGACATTTATCATCATCATCATCATTTGGCCTCATCTGTTTAGAGTAGCACCAAGGTAACTTTAGCATCTTTTAAAAAGCAATACATTGCTTTGTTGGATTGTCAGCAGAAAATAGTGTACATGCCTTGGACACTACTTTTTCGATCAACCTTCTCATTTAAGCCTCAGCAAGAATGTAAATAAGCTTCCATTCCAAAGTGTTCAACGACTCCTTTGAACCCTAAACGTGAGCTCTGTTCTGAGGATAATATTAATGAAAGGTTGATAATCTGTGGAGGCCTACAGTATGTTAGCTTTACATAATCATACCGGCATGCAGTGTAAGGACGTGAGTGAGCAACTACTCCATCAGATTAGTGTTTGTTACAAGAACAAAGGATTTGTCGAGACAAGGACTACCAGACGGACTAGGAGACGGACAGGTAAAACATAGAGTAAATGTGATCACCTCAATGAGATTCCGGACGTGGGAATTGAGTGTGATCTGCACCACAGACGGTTTGGGAGAGACGTGACGAGAACACAACCACAAACACAAAAACAAACACGGACATGAGACAACGACATGAGTCTGAGGTTCCATCGTTGTGTCACAGCAAAGATTATTGAATTATTAACTTAAATCCAAAAGAGGAAACGTGACGGCGTACAGAACGTTATTAACAGTGTGTTACTGGGAGGACGTGACATGCGTGCTATGGTCATGCCGCTACGATCGTG